GGATTCAGGCAGGAAGGAAGATTCCCGCCCGTCGAACGATCCATCTGACCTTGCATGTTTATGATCAGCAGTATGGCACTGAACTGCATGGTAAATGGATGCAGTATCTTGCCAACAAAAAGTCTGATCAGTCTGCAGCAGGTAGCAGTAAAGCTTATCCAGGGTCGGATATGCAGCAAAGCGCCGGTCTGCAAGCTGTAGTCAATGAGGGCAATGCACTGTCTGCCAGTGGCTCGAGTGGTACTGCGAAGGATACCGTGGTAACTCAGCACTTGAACCTGACAGAAATGAATAAGGTTTTGGAGCAAATTAATAATGCTCCAGATTATTCAGCTGTTGTTACTGGAGATAATGAAGATAGCGATATGGAACTGGCTGCTATTGATCAGCGTCATAAAGGCGCTGATTTGTATTACAGTCAGAAGCTTGGCAAAGAAAGCGATGAGTCATCAACCGCGGCTGTGGTTGATCAGTTACGTACAGAGTTGGATGCAGAAAGGGTGCAATATCATGCACTAGCTTTAAAGTATAACGATTTAGTCGAAAAATACGATGAGAGTGTTGATCATCGAAAGAAGTTGACGGATGACGTGAAATTGCTTACTATTATGCGTACTCGAGACGCAAAGTTGATGCAGGATGCGTTCGAGCACGTAAACAAAGAAAGTGAAAAGTTGCAACTGGAAAAGCAGAAGTTCCAGTTAGAGAAGGAGAAGGCGCAGAAAAGTTTTCAACAAGGCACAGTTGCCTTGAATAAAAAGTATGCGAGTTTTCTGGCTGAACAAACAGCATTTAATGTTGCTGTTGATAAGTGGAAAGTTGATCGGAATAATATACGCCATGCAGTGAATGATGACGTAATCTTTGTTCCGCACGTTGAAGCAGGTCGACGAAGCGTAGTAGTACAGGATATGGCTGATCCTGTACGAAAGCTGTACAGTGCAGTTCAGAAGCCTGTCTTCATGGTTAAGAATTCCCACAAGCTGGAAGATTTTCTGGACTTGCGTGAGCGTGCTCATAATATGCAGGAATGTTTGGGTGAGTCGCGTAGTCCCTCACCAACGATTTCAGAAGTTAGCACAATTGCTTTGGCCAAGATGGAAGCCAAGGTTGCTGAACTTGATCGTCGTTTAAAGGAACAGGAAGCCAAGGGCGGTAGTACTGCTTCCGTTCCATTTGATATGGATAAGTTTACGAATGCTATGAAAGGTGCATTCAGGACGGATACAATGTATCCTGAGAAGTTTGATGGGAAAACAGATACGAATAAGGTGGAACAGTTTATCCAGAGTGTAGATAACTGTAAAAACCACAACAGTTGGTCGGACAGTGACGTCGTCAGTAAGTGCTTGTCGCGCTGCCTTACTGGCACGGCACTTACCTGGTACTTGGATAATTACGATTTCAATAAAAAGTTGAAGTGGTCTGAATGGAAGAAGATGATCCGAGAACATTTCTCGGATGAGAAGGATTTGATGGCTGTTCGTGATAAAATTGCTGATCGTCATTTTAGTAATGACGATACACCGAACTCGTATGTGGATTGGTTCACTACGTCGTTCAAAAAGCTCGATTTGAACGAATCGGAACGTGTGTATTATCTGAAGCAAGGATTAAAGAAGAACCGTTTCTTTTGGTTCAAATACATGGAAGAGAAAAGAGTGGCAGATGTTGAAGAATTTCTGTCAGAACTGAAACTGCAGTATAAGCTGCGTAACAGTAATCCCGGTTCTGGTTACTCTGAATCAAAACAGTTCAGTGGCAGGAAGCCAGTTGATGCAGATAGCAGCGCAGTTAAGGCTGCTAGTAATGAGGCGAAGAAGTCCGAAGGAAGTGCAGTTGATAATGGTAAGCAGGTTACCATTAATTACGCTAAATGGTATTTTCCAGACGGACAACCGATATGTTTTAAATGCCATGGCGCGCATGTGGGAAAGAAATGCACCAGTACGGAACCTCGTAAGCCTGTGACAGCTGAACCGCCGGATCAGGTGATTAAAGCTTATATGATGAAGAAGTCGATGGGAAAGAATCCCGAAAGTAATAGTTTGGGATTGTTTTTGATGCGCAAACCGGAGGTTAATTCCTTTACTGTGCAGGTTAAACATGCACAAGAGTTCGCTGCACTGAAGGAAACTTGCAGTGGGGGCGATGCCGCTCAGGTTAAGTTCTGCTCGGTACGCCGTCCGACAGGGCATTCGCTTTGCAGTGGGGGTGCTCAGGCTAGTGTGGGTTGGCGTCGGAAGCAAAGTGGTAGTGCTTATGCAAAGCGCTTGAAGTATCTGATCAAGAATCCCGAGGCGGAGATGAGTCGGGATGAAAAAGAGAACGTGAAAGATTTTCATGTTTATCGTGGCATTGTGTACCGTAGCAAGGGCGGTAGGTACGGTAGACACCGTGTAGTCGTACCGGAAGTTAGCCGTCAGGAGCTGTTACGAAACTGCCATGAAAGTTTTCATGCTGGTGATCTGCATGATTATTGGTCAGTCCGTAATGTTTTGCGGAACTATTATTGGCCTGGGATGAATGCCGAATTGTGGAAAATGGGAGCTGAATGCGAGCATTGTAACGCTCACGTTTAAGTTCTGACTGCTACGTTGTGAGTCCGCTGTTCCGTTGTCTGTGGTGTACTGACAGTGTAACTTGCTTTTACTCATAACCGCAGGATTTATCAACAAAAAGGGGATGCTGATTGCTGGATTATCAGAAAATTATAATAACTTGTTGTTTGGGAAATCAGGTACTGAAATTTAGAAGTACTTTGTGTTGTGTGCCGTAGCCGCCGGTGTGGTAGCTACGTGCATGGAAACGCTGTGCTGCGGTGCAGTGTTTGATTTCTGTAAAAATGATTTCAAAATCATTTTGATTCTGCAGACCATTTTGACTCTGCAGTCGGAGCGGTAATTACGATTATTGTTTGATTTTGATAACTGAATGTTTATAATCCAGTTTAGATTCCAATCAATCATCCGGAAGTTAATCTTGGATGATACTGGTTACGTTTTGTTTGATCACTGCTAAGAACCATGCTATCGTATTGGTTCTTGTGAACTGTTTGTGATTGACTGTGTTTTATCGTTTGACTGCAGGTGCAAACTTGCAGTGGGGGTAATTGCCAGTAATTAGTGGAATTAAATATCCACTTTTTGGGGCACTGAAGATGCTGATTAACGAACGGTATTCATTCGTTTTAATCTGTGTTGTTGATTGATTGGCGGTAGCCAGTGTTTGTCAGAATGGCTGCCATTTCTGATGTGTCTGGCCTGACGGTTTGTGGAACGAGGAACTTCGGAGGACTTGGACGGAACACCAACTTCATCAACTTGGACCTCCATTCGAACCCCCGTCACACCCCGGATTCCACGCGCGAATGATGAAACGGATCCTCCAGGATTACGGTACTTCCTGGATTTGATTTTCTTTGATTTTGGTTTTTGTTTGTTTGTTTGCTTTGATTAACGCGGACGTTAATTCTGTAGCAGTGGGGATACGCGCTATGCATAGATTGCGCGTATTACGTACGTACGTGTTACGACGTACGTGTTGTCTGTTCCGTTACGTACGATGTGCTGTTCTTATCTAACGCATTTGATCGCTAATTGGATCCACGATTCTGGTTTAACTGATGAGTCTGAAGTTTCTAACTTCAACTAAATCTGTGAGCTTGTTTCTAGCTGAAAGGTCGTGTGACTCTAGGTTAGAAGGAAGTTCATATCTCGTTCTGTTCTGTTCTGTTTGTTCGTTCGTTCGGTTTGGTGATTAAACATTTGGGAAGTTCCTGAGTGTTTTGGTTTCGGTAACTTTCGTTAGGCACAGCAATCCGCTCGTACCTAGCGGAAGTAAGCAGTAGTACCACTTACGGAGTCCAGAGCATATTCCCACTCTACCGATTGAGTAGGTTTGGTCATCTAGTGCGGTTGTCGCGGTGCGACTTCCGCATAGCATGTCAATACGTGTCTAACGAACTGAAGAATTTAATTTAAGTTTTCCAAAAATCCCTTTTCCAAAATATTAATGTACAATGCCGCATCTACAGTATAGAGCATATGTGATCATATCCCGGATTGGCAATTTTTTCGACCGGCGCGTCTTTTTTCTCAAAGCATTCTGAAATCCATTTTCGGATACATTTGCCGGTATATGATGTCTCTGCGGGGCTTCTTTTGTGGAAAAGGTCATATGCAAATGCCGCAGCAAACGGCAACAAATAATTTAACTTATTATTTTATTAAAAGTTACAAAAAATTTTGTTGTGGTATGCGGAGTCAAACGTGGTGTGCGAAAGGTGGTATTAGAAGTCTAAGGTGGTGTGAAAGGTGGTATAAAGGTGGTATGCGGAGCCTTCACCATAAATGTTTGTGTAAGTAATGTTAATGTTGCGTATACGGTATAAACTATCAAAGTACTTATTGTAACAGCATAGCCATACAGATGAGATTCGGCAACAAAGACAATCGCACCCGCCCGTGGAATCACTAAATTTAAAACTGATCAAACCGCTTCGACGGGCAGCTACTTTATCTGCAGATCTTGCAGTCCCCGTTTCCCCACAGGGAATGTGGGCTCTTTGAAAATCTTCTTTCCCCCGTTTAATTTTCTTCCTCGAAACTGACTTTCGGTGAAAAATTCAAAAGCTCGCCAATGACATACGTAAAGGTTTGAATTTAATTCCGTGTAGTGCTTAGCGGAATTGTCAGAACTGCGTTTCTGGCTGTCTCACAGCCTCTCACTCTGTTGGACACAGTGGTGGAGTGGTTGGGTTTGCAGTGGTGGGTTCTTGACTTTTCCCATAGACTTCGTATGTTAAACATTTTTGAAATTTTTTTCCAGGTCTCAAATAGTTTAGAAAAACTAACTCGTTTCTGCAAATCTATGATCGCAGCGCTATCGCATGATCCATAGACATTAAAGTTTGGTTCAGTGTATCGTTTGCAAAAGGGAGATACGAATAGAATTTTGCTAAGGCTTATGCTATTAATAATTTAATATATAGAGATATGTACAGTTTGACCTGCTGAGTCGAACTGAAACGTTAAACTTAAACTTCTAAATTTGTTATCAGGTTTTCTGTTAATACTTATATACATGTGTATATATAGCATATAAACAGTCACGTTGCCATTATCCTATTTCTGAGGTTTTCATCGTTATCATCAATTACTATGACCAGTATCTGTATGCCAACATATTGGCCATGCTGGGTACGGGGAACGGCTTTTCGTCGTCCGCAGAGGGCGGTGGCAGGAGCGGACAGTTTTGTCCACGGGGACCGTTGCATTTGAAGGCCTCCTCGATGGCATGAGTTTGCTCATCAGAAATTTGTTGGGTCTCACGTCCGCACTTGTCAGCCACTTCCGTTCCAGTGCAGGTTTTATGGGATTTGATACTACTGCAATTGCAAAATACGTTACGATTTTAGTTTATAAATTTGACAAACTGCGTAATCTTTATCGTAACCTTTATCGTTCTTTATCGTAATCTTTATCCTTTATCGTTTTACAAATTTAAAAATATAGTGAAGTACTTTAAATCTGGCAAGGTTATTTTCGTCGAAAGTTTGAATTGCTTTCTTATCAGTATTACTCCAGTTTATTACGTACCTCGATTTTTACTTATTTTGACGTATCATGATTTAGTGAAGAATCTGCTCGTTTACCAGCATATTTGCTTAAAAATTTTCCCGTTGCGCCATCCAGCCCAATTATCCTCTTTCTCCAAACCCAGGCGAAACGAAAGAGTGCCGCAAGCGCGTGCTTTGGAGCCACTGGTCTGGTTGAGTGTCTTGCCGCACTGCATCAAGGTGTTGAATTTGCTGTAAAGATCCGGACGGTCACAGACATCCATCAGTCGTACCACAGTGGCAGTGAATTCGTGAAAATCGGTTACATCACGCGGAACGCACTGACCGAGGGCGATTTTCACACAGGCTAAGGCTTCCTTGGTAACTCTGCCAAAAACAGAATAAACAGAAAAAGTAAATAATCACACAGAAGACTTATTACTGTCTAGTTTCTTTCTTTTTAAAATTCAGTTATCGTTTTTTCTTTAAACGCGTTTTAATAAAATTGTGATATTGTTAATTCTTAAAGTTTAGTTATCGTTTTTAAATTCAGTTATCGTTCGTTCTCATCTTTGAGAATTAACAATAGCACAATTTTAATAAAACGCGTTTATCATCCTGGTTAAGCTAAACTAGTAAATAAGACTTTTTAGGTAATTCATACAGAGAGACAGAGTACAACTCTAGAAAAATTTATGGCCGTTAGCTGTACAGTACTTTTATAGTTAAAAAGTTATCGTACTGTTACTGTAACGAGTCGTACATATACCGGCTAAAATATTGTATTAATATCCACGCGGAAAAGCGGTTCAGGATACCTGCAGAGGCTTCTCAGCTGCGGCTCCGTCACATCCATTCCTGCTTGCAGCTTGGCCAAATAATCGTGACCTTCCGGTCCCATGGCGTACGTCTGCATGGTCATCCCGCACGGCGCGAAGGTGCTGGCGTCGCAGGTATCCAGCGCCACTGGATTGGCGGCAACGTAGCTGGCAATGGCCAACAATCCCGCAATAACACCGGCAAACATCATTTTGCTCTTCTCTGTCTAGCAAAAGGTTACGAACAGATTAACAGCGTGCAGAATTGATGGACTGAATGTTTCAACAGCGGAAATTTATGGTTTTTATGGGCGATACAGGGTTTGGGCGAGGCACACCTTGTTTTGCCGCGTTACATGCAGGATCGTTGATCGTGTGATAAAAGTGCCAGTTACATCATTTTGCTTTGATAGGTTCGCCGTACATTTCGTTATCCATCTGGAAATGGCTGCCTGATTTCTGCGTACAATCAGACAATATGCATATCTGGTGCATTATTTGCCGATGACCAGTGATAAGTATGCGGTAGTGTTTCCATAAATTTGCTTCCGAACCCATTAATGAAATACTTACTACTCTAGTTGACTTATGTACATACGAAGAAAAGTTAGTGCAGTCTTATGGGACATTTGCTCAGTAAGATTCATACTGAGCAAATCAACCACAACATCCAATGACCCAATCGTACATTAACAATGCCGGGCAGGGTTCTTTCTATACGCACGATTTCCTCAAAATGGTATTTATTGACAAAACATCATTAACTAATATCAAAATAAACAGTAGCATTACGTACTTACGAGAACGCAACCAGAAAATATCATAATGTTCATGTCGTCTTCTCTAGTCGCCAAGAAAACGAACTGTCGATTTTGGTCGTTGGAATAGGTGAAAACATAAATTATACAGCATCGATATTCTTATAACTGTCTGCACAATTTTTATGGCTTATCTTGTCTATCTATCTATGAGAAAGCGTATGCAGCGTACAGTCGTTGAACTTGACCTCGCAGAAATTATCGATAGTCGGACTTGGAACTGGACTTTGACGTACTGCAAAAGGTTTGGCGTCGTCATATCAGCGGCTGAAGCGCTGTTCAACCGCCGATACCGCCTTGAAGTTGCAACTAATAGTATACTTACAACTTTTGTGCTTTCAAATTTCAAACTGCTTGCAACGCGAAAAGAAAAAAACGGTGACCGTAGATCATTTTCACCACTATTAAACGGAACAAGTCAAATTTTTCCCAGTAATTTACCTTTTGACCTAAGCATTGGAAACAATTCGTATTCAGTTGAAAGTTGAAACTATAAGCACCGAAACACATTGCTCGTACTATGCGTATATAATTAGTCGTATTTTGTACAGATTAAAACACTGTAAATACGCGCTTCGAACAGCTAAACCCACGAGAGGAGTTTAACATTTCATAAACTCATAGCCTCGAGTTCTAGGCTAAAATGTACGGGACTTGGTCGGGGACGGCCGCCGGAAAAGAAGCAATTCCGAATTGCATGACGGGTTGCTGATATCAGGCATCACCGCATCAGTGTCATGTACTGATGTACAGTTTCCTCGTTATTCGCAGTTGGCGGGTGATGCCAGTTTTATTTGGATTTTGGCACAGTCATGAGTATTATACGGTGTTTTTTTGTGAACCACTCATCCGAAACATACAAATATTTTGTTCCACAAAAATGTTTTTAATAGGGTTTAATAGAGCAGAATTTTATTCCACCGGGTAATTAACTCATAAATTCTTATACTGCAGTTCGAAATATAATTGGTTTCCATTAGAAAATTTAATTTTCTGTCAGATCCGAAGAATGCCCATAAATTTTTTTGTAAGCGACAAAGGTGCATTGCATCGCGCGCAACTTCCTTGAGCATGTCACAGTAGTATCATATAACGAGTACAAGCCGGAACTACAGCCCTACAGCAAGCATCACAACAGTATTTTCCAGGATGTTCGGTTACACTGGTGGTCCATTGGGACCGAAACCATTGGGTCTGCCCCTACCCGGCGCGGGGAGCATGTCGCTCACATTGGATACATCCAGTTCCTTGTTGAGCATCCTGACACACTGCATCAAAATAGCCAGTTTGCGTCATTTGTATTAGTGTCCATCGCGCAGGCACTTTTATGTGTGGTGGCTGTTGGCTATTGCCAAATAAGAACTTCAAGTAAATTTGCTGCAGAGATCCGGACGGGCGCAGACATCCGTCAGTTGTACAGAGGGTGATTTTGCAATATACTTCCACTTTCTTTATGAATTTATTGTCATCCTCTCCGTGCATGTTTTATTCTTAGAGCGGTTAATTTTGAAAGCCCTTTCTTTTAGCGATCATAACAAATTTATTTTAAGAAATAGAAAACAGTTTAGCATACGGTGGGATTTTGCAAACCGACAAAGGTCTGTGCCCAACACTGTAACAATTCGCAAAACGTTTTGCAATGCCTTCCATTAAAAATTTGCTACAAAATCGTCATCAATTCATAATCTATGGGTGCCAGGTTTAGTGAATTGTTACATCATGTGGCCTTCAGAAAACATCTGGCTTCGTGAGATTTTAGGCACTGGTACGTTGTGTTAGCTTCGTGAACTGGAAGATAGTCATTTCAACTGTTTCCCTTGCGTTCCTCCCCGGGCCGCAAATCCAGATTCTCCTGAGAAGTTTTTTAAGCGACTTTTTAGTATAGCAATCTACGGCGGTTTTAACACTGGGAGGGGCCACATGCACTGCATTATTGTCCCGGTAAATAATTTCGGAAAACAAACATCATTCGTTTTCGTTTTTTTTTATCAAATTTTGATTTTTTATTATTACGATAATTAAAAGTGGCAGCACAGAATTTCGTGTCTCCCGTCCGAATAAAGAAGCTACATCTGCGCCTCACCGATTGCGACGGTCTATTTCAAATTCCAGAAAATAAGGAAACTGGCAAAAAGATTTTCTCGTCAAAAATTTGTTCCAGTTTCAAAAACTGGGCGTTCCACTTTAAAATCACTTGAGTGCCACTTACTTCGTTTTTAGAATTCAACTAATGATGAATTATCAAACACATATTGAAGTATTTTTAAGTGACAAGAAGTGAAGGAAAGAACAAGGGAGGGAATTACAGCTTAGGACAAAAAAGACGCATAATCCCACCAACAGCATTGCGAATGCATGCAGCGCAGTGCGCTGTACGGCTCACTTGTCAGCTAAAATACCCAGTTGTCGTAAAAATGCACTTGCCACATGCGTACGGATATCTGGGTGTGGGGTTATGCGTCTTTTTTGTCCTAAGCTGTACTGCAACTTTGTGTCCGTGCTGGAAGCTATTGCGAAATCACCCTCAGTACGACACCGGCAGCGAATTCGTGTACATTGGTAACATCAGGCTTTCGTTCCTTTTCGTGTTAGTTGAAATTATCGCATTTCTTTCTCATTTTAAAAAAAATAGAATGTCGTAATTTTGTCACAATGTGTTTATCGTCCTAGTTAACCTGTTTCTTCCTAACAGGTTAACACCAGCAAACACTATTTTAATTCTCAGGCTAGCAAAGGTCATAAATAGTTTAACGGAAGAATGCAGCGTGCCGAAATCGATAGACTGAAGGTTTTAACAGCGGCAATTTATGGTTTTACAGGTTATATGTTGTTTGAGCGAAGCACGCCTTGTACTTGACAATCGCTTGCCATAGTACCGTCTGTTGTGCGATAAAAACACCAGTTGCAACATTTTGCATTATGCATGTTCGCCGTGCATTCCGTAATCCATCTGGAAATGTCTGCCTGTTTTCTGTGTACAATACATCTATTGTAAACACATCCAGATAAATCATAAATATATACTATACTGTTGTTTCCATAAATCTGGTTCTGCTTTAAAGAAAATTAATAGTGCTCTCGTTAACCGAAATCTGTACGTGTAATACAGTATTCGAAAATGCATTAGACGTAAAAAAGGTAGTTCAACTTACGTGAGTTTTGCAAATTTTTTATTTTTCTAACCAACTACAACACCCCATTACCTAATCAATCATTATCAGTGCAGGGTAGGGTTTTTTATATCTGCGATTTCTTCCAAATAATAAATTAACAAAACAATAATTTTTATTACTGAATGGATAATATTATAGCCACCGAGAAAAATAACCAGAAAGCCATACTACCACAAGTTTGTGCCGTTTGCTCCGATAGCCAAGAAACCGGAGTGTCAGTTTTAGGTGCTCGAAATATCTGGTGAAAACATAAACTGAGTATTTCTGTTTAGTGTTTATTCTGATTTTACCGCTGAATTTTTGCTGTTTCTATGAGGACGCGCATACAGTAGTTGAACTTGACCTTGTAGAAATTATCGACAATCACATTCTGTGTTGAACTTGCGCACTGAAAGGCTCACGGTGGTTGTAATCAGCGGTCAAAGTGCTGTTCTACCTGCTGGTACCGCGTTGGTTTTACATACAATTACCACAATTTTTGTGCGTCCGCATTTTAAACTGCATTCGGAGTGTAAAGAGAAAGTAGTGGAAGCAATCCGTATTCAGTATCAGCACCGAATCACATTTCTCGTATGACTGCATTTACAAAATAGAAGACTGTAAATCCACGCTTCGAACAGCTGAAGAAATTAACGGGAAAAGTTTGACATTTCACACCCCCGCAGCCCCGATAAAATGCAGCGGGAACTATGTCGCCGGGCGGCCGTCGGAAACGAAACTATCCCGAATTTCACAACGTGTTGCTGATATTGTAGTTTCCTCGTTATTCGCAATTGACGGTGGCAGATCAGGGCAGTTCTGGGCCTCTGATGCCAGGGGCTGTTACTCTTTAAAGAGTAACGTTCTCTTCATCGTTGTGCAGGATAACAACAAATTGGTCGTCTCCACAAAGATGTAGAGGGCGTCATTCACGATCTATATATCAGGTTTCCTCTATTCTGGTTGGACCGGCTTTATGACGCTCCGACATCAGAAGTACTGTTGTGTCCTGTTCATCGGTCAAGCTGTGTTTATCATTTCCATGCATTTTTTCCAATTGTTTTTGTCCAGTTCATTCGGGATATTTCATACGCATGTGTTTCAAATGTTTTTTATGGATTTACAGCATACTGAACATAGCGGCGCTGGCTGCAGAATTTCTGGAGGCCAGTATGTCAGGTTTTTGGTATTTTGGTACAGTATTGTCATTAAAGTCGGTATTTCCGGGCTGTGCCGTCGTAGACTGGAGCCACAGGCCACGCAAGACCACCAGAAGTTATTTTTTTACCACACAGGTACGAGCAACTGTTCATTTTCACTGAATTATTATGTCCTGCACTTTGCCTAGTATTGTATTTATTATATTATATTTGATCATAATCACAATAATGTAACCAGTTGGTGTACGGTCGCAGACTCGCATGTCACCAGCAGCTCGAAGAAACCTGGACACGCTGATCAGCTTGCAGAAAATTCCAAACGCCGGACATATTCGTTTGTGGAAAATGGAAACTTTTTTTATCCTTTAGTGATAGAGACGTTGGGAGTGTTTGGCCCCGCTTTCAGTGAACTGTTGCATTTCATGGGCCGTAAAATTGGAGACTTAACTGGAGAAGCGCGTTCTACTGCTTTCCTTAAGCAGCGTTTCAGCCTGGCTGTTGTTAAAGGAAATGCCACGGCTGTTTTGAGCACGTTACCTTTTAACCCAAGACAAGATAGAGATTTTGGTTGTTTTTTTAATGTTTAAATTTTAACTTTCATGTAGTGCACCGGCGCTTGCAATCATTGTTACCTTGGCGGCTATTGCCCATTAAACTTATTATCACAATAATAGAAAGTGTTGCCCTCCGATGGATCAGGCTGTGCGAATTACCGTGAATACTGCGTATGTCAGTGCTAAAAATGTTCTCAAAAAATTAATATTTTCATGGAAACGACGCTGCTGTACTGTACTCTACTTATCGGTTAGTATAACGCCGTGTTTGCTGTATAGACCGAGTTGGCCGCAGACGTTTGTCAACGTCACCATGCCGCGATCAGTTCATGGGTGTACAACAGCAGACTGGTAAAATCAGGTGTCTGTCTGGATAGAGGTCAATATTTCTTGGAACGACTATTTTGTAAAACCTGTAATGGAAAAGCGGAGGACGAACGGGAGGGGTTGTACTGAATGGGAGGAAGGCACTTTGATATTGTAGCTACTTTAGAATACTTGTGGTGATGGTCCCCGTCTCACAGAAGCCATTATTTGTATCAGCTCGGAAAGACTACGGGTAATTGGGGACCAGATTATAATTAAATTGCACTCATTATTTGACTGGGAAAAATAATCAGGTGTATACGGCTTTGTTTATGTTGTCGTTTAACTCTCGCAACGGTTGACTTCACGGTCTCCTGCCGAACGTAAGAACAGCACGGAAAAGTCCCGATATTTTACACGTAGATACCGCACTTTACTCGTAATCAAAATGGCTAACGCGTTACCGGCAGCGTTCACGCATTATCACAACAACAACATTGGCAAAATGCTTCGTTTGATTTGATTTTAGGTAAAGTATAGTATGAGAGAAAATGTTTAAAGCATAATGCTGTTCAACTCTAACCGTGAGACTGATTGAACGTTGTCCGATTAACAATACAAATATTTTTGTCGGTTGAATATCGCGTCTGTATTATAAGTACATAAATAACATAATTATTATGTTCGACAAGGTTCCGGGTTAATTTCGTTGATATTGTACGGTTAAAAGTTTATTCAGCCCTGATAATACTCGTATAACAGCGTCTACAGTACTGTGGTCTGTAGTGAAGCCAGATCATGTATGCGCTGGGTTTGCACATTTTTTATTAAAAAAAACACTGTTTGAAGTCTTATTTTGCAAGCCCTACTTACGAAGATTTTCTGTATTCAAAATAAAAGGTTATACAACCCATAACTTCTTTAAAAATACTACTGCATAAGACAATACAATGCAAATTAAGATAATAATATTATTATATATTATATATGCTTGTATACTATATACTTGTATGATTTAAAATTAATAAATCAAATCAAATAAATCAAATAATCAAATCCAATCAAATCAAATAAGTCAAATAATAGAACTATAAGGAAAAGTATAGTTCTATACGTAATCGTATACAGTTAAGTGTACGCTGCTCTTCCTGTTATTAGCTGTTGCTTAAAATTAATTAAAAGGCAATATAGCGTATGTCAGAAGAATACAGATATGCTAGTCAGCTAGTGTACTGTTACATGCATTATATGCAACGTAACCGTAAAAAAAAGTAAAAACTGGCCATGTAGTGCGCGGTTCAAAAATTCAAAAATTAAAGCAATAAACGGTGTGCCAAAGGCACACAATCAAGTATGCATCATATCATAAAACTACTGCAGGTTCAGAAAGAGAAGCACTTAATCGCTTGCGCAATATTTGTCAAAACGAGCCATCGACGTTTTTGTCTTACACAAATTTGCTTCTGAGAAACAAAATTTGAAGTGGCTATATAATTCACCCAAGAAACTATTATAATCTCTAAAGTGATCGGGTTTGTCTTTTGATCGGGTCCCAGAAGTTGTACGTTCGAGTAAGAAAACTTTGCTAAGAACTGACTTTACGGGCGCTTTATCATTCCAGCGCAATCAACAATCAAAAAAATTCCCCGGACTGTCTGCTAACCGGCATATAACTACTCGTCGCCGCTGTTGCAGCCGGCAGTCCACCGATTTCTGCGTTGAGGATTATTCGCGTCCGTCCTTCTGTCTGTAATATTGCTGACCTTTCGCCAAGCACATTATAAGATGTATTCCGCTATTGCCGTCTTGCTGGCCGTTGCCGGCTACGCCGCTGCCAGTCCGGTGGCGGTGGGAACTTGCGACCCGAGCCAGTTTATGCCCTGCGTAATGCCCATGCTTATGTTTGCCATGGGACCGGAAGGTCAGCAACTGACCAAGATCAAGGACGGCATGGATATCACCGAGCCGCAGTTGAAAAGCCTCTGCAGGTTAGTCCTAGGGACCCAGAGCAACGAGTTGGCCGTCAAAAACAAAATGCTTTTGCTGTGGAAGAAATTAACTGTTAATAAATATGTATCAGTTAAATATTTTCGCAGAATTTCTAGTGGATCAGGGGTTATAAAAATTAGTTCTTATCGCTAGAAAATTTACCATTACTTTTCCGTGTTTCTTTATAAGAAAGTATACGTAGTCGTAGACATGTATTTACAATCGTAAATTAATAAAGTTCTAAAGAAACATGAAAGATAGCTGTAATAACTACATAACGTATTTTTGAATTCTCTTTAGTTGCCCATAACCTGTAACCAATAGCGCGTTTAACAATATATTGTACAGAACTCGAGTTTCCTTTCCGGGACAGTACTGAATATCATCTCATAAAAAACTCGCAATGCAAAATTTGCTATTAAAATCCGGCAATCAGTCAGCTTATCGATTTCTGAGAATCGCCGGTGTAGTTAATTAACCAGAATTACAATAGCGACGTTCGCTGTTTGCTTTGGTAGAATCGGAAAAGAGACTCTGACCTGTGCCAAGACCGCCGTGGGTTCGTGTGTCCCCCGTGACGTCACCGACCTGCATGAAGCCCTGGCCAGCACCGTGAAGCTGATGGAAGTCTGCGACCGCCCCGACATGTACAGCAAGGCCCGCGTCCTTTTCCAGTGCGCCAAGACCCTCAACCAGACCGCCGGCACCAAGACCCGCTCGTGCGCTAACCGTGCCGCCAGGACGTCCGTCGACAAGGTCAAGGCTAAAGGATCCAGCAGCGATCCGTTGGAGGAGTGGCGTAACGGTGAAGCCATGAAACAGTTGTGCTGGTAAGGCCGACATATATATAAATAAGTATGCCCTTATATATATAAATATTTGAAAAGGGGAGCATCGCTCACAGCAGTACGATGTGAATATATGCCCTTACATATGACTTAATGTATATAGAATAAATTAAAATAATTTTGTACGAAATATAGAGAAATAAAAAATTGTTTGACAGTAACCTCAAATCCGTCAAGAGCTGTAGTGGAACGGAAGTAGCTGACAAGTGCGGAAGTCAAGCCCAGCAGATCACCGACAGCATCTATGCTACCGTCTTGGAGTCGTTCAAGTGTAATGGACCCCGCGGACAGAACTGCCCGACGCTGCCGCCGCCCACCGCTGAGGATGCCAAGTTCGACATGCCGGATATGGGCAACATGTTCCCCGGTATGGGCGGTCCCGGTGGTCCCGGTGGTCCCGGTTTCGGTCCTGGTGGCCCACCCATGTAATGGACGCTACCAAGCCTGTTTATGTGTCGTTCTTAAACGCTGCTTGATATTTTCGTGATAAAATTTGTTAGGGATTTTCTTTTAATTTGTCGTCAGATTGTGGGAATAAATTTTTTTATGATGAAAGATGTGTTTTGTCGCAAAGAGTTTATCTTTAAACCGGTGTGCGAAAAACGGCAGTTCTGAAAATAAATTTAATATCGTATAAGCGACAGGAACAGTATTAATCAGATTTTATTCACGCACAAGAAACAGCCATGATTATGACGCGGCTGTAATTTGCAGTTGAACGCTGCAGTATGCCCTTATTTTGCTATCATTATATCTATCTGTACGTCGGACTGACGATGGTTGGCTGGAAGCCTAGAACAACCGTCAAGAAGTGTAAAACTCTTGCCCATTTATCAATACTTTGCCAACTTTTATTTTTCAAAGTCAGCCGCTGTAGATTAAGAAATCTGGAAACGATTAGCCTAGATGCTGCTGGGTTTGCTGTGCTTGATTGCCAATAATCAGCGGTACGTTCATGTGTTATCTACCGCGCAGTCAAGTTTTCTTGTATGTGTACTGTGCACTGTAACTTGCATTCTACACTCTACAGAGTGCAGACTCTGCACTGCAGATTCAGTTAAAATTATGCGATATCTGCGAGTACACAACAAAACATAAACCCACCCAATATTTCCAAGCGATCAGCCGATAATTCAACACTGCGCCATTGTTGCTAGTATACTTTGCACAATGTAGTCTTCTTCTGTTATGCACAATACAACCGCTGGAAGCAATAATTCTTCTCATAAACAATTTACAACAGTCAGAACTGTTCTTTATTTCACAAAATAAAAATAAAAACCAGTTTATAATACAACAATATAACTTGGTAACTTATGCTTCAGTTGTGTACGAGTGTACATGTTGCACACAGTGGAATCTGCATTATAGACCGGACCACGGCAAAGGTCATCTAATACCATGAAAATTTAGAAAGGGTAGTGCAGTCCGTTCGTTACGAAATTTATGTAAAAAATCTTTATAACTGGCTACGTGAGCATTAGTCTTACATTAAATTAATATGAACTACTTCTATACAAGCTGTTGGGTCAGTCAGTGCATGCTGGTATACGTTTCCTTAGTAATTAACATGCAAAACAGAGATCCATATTAGCATCATGCCATGGAAAGCAAAGATCCACATGAGCACCATGCTGATTGTTACAGTGACGGGTAAATCTTCATTATCGCATTCGCCGCAGAATACATATTTATCACTCTAAATGCAAGCAAAAAATAATAATCCTGAACAAAGATAAGAGCACTACAGTGACTACAGTCGATTAATCATAGCGCGATAGTCGATACGCATGGTGCTTCGTGCATCACATAAGAATCACTCATCGTCAATACCGCTGAGCAAATAAAGCCCACGCAGCTTCAAGACTGTGTTCGTGCAGCCGTAAACAGTCGAGTTGGATGTTACGTATTTACAGTAGCATGCATCTTTATTTAGAAAACGAGTATCAGATCAACGCATGGAATGCGGTAGATGTCGCCGTTGACGGTCAGCTCCAGCACGGGCATGTGGTCAACACTGCGGACAACGGCCTGATCGTCGATCTGCACTGCACAAGTCAGACGGCTGTTTTTGTCGAATATGGGAAGATCTTCGATCCCCGTGGAGCATCACATTATATACCAGGTCGGTCGATAAACCAAGGAACTGCGATACATGCGTTACTGCAGGCTCGTCCCGACCGCGCCTGGACCTGGTATCACGGGAGGATGGTGCGCTCAGATTTCCGGTATGGCGGGTATGCCTGGGTCGAGGTGAGCGTGGAAGGCATTACCGTTACGGAACTGCTTTCCCTGTCGCAAATCCGTGTCCCCTCATCCCACGACAAGCTTCAGGGGAGAGTGATTGAACGGGATGAATTTGTCGCATGCACCGGTCGTCTGCCGGACGGCTATTCGTCGGTCGTAACACCATTATTCTTGGCTCTCTTTCAACGCCAGTGCACGTGGTTAAATACGCGTCGTGTTTATCCTGTTACTTTTCTGAGCGACAGTTTCTTATATCTTCAACGTCAAGGTGAAGATTATTCAGAATTTCTGGTACGTGACCCACCGGCCCAAAATTATGTGAAATGGTTGCGCGCCAAGACAAATCGGGAGCACATAATTTCGCTAAGCTCTCGATTTTCCGGGTGCATAGCAGTCACTTAAAGCGTATATAACAAATTACAACCAGCGAACTGTTTTTGCAGGAAAAATCTTTTTGCGATGTGCAGGATAGGATCCTTTTCCACCGTGCGCGGGGTGAAGCGTATCCTGAAGAAGATCTCATTCTGCGCCGCAAACAAATAGAAAGCCCCGTTATGTGGGGAAGTACTCCACCAAGCTCGCGTATTCCGTTACCGACAGAGCTGTTGTTAGAGATATTTCACTCTCTAGACACCCTTGATCAGCAGCGATATCGGCGTACATGTCAACTATGGGATGCCTTGTTGACTTCAGTTGATTTCTCTAAGACCATTCAGTTATCCTACAACAAACCCTATTTCCCTTCCTGGGTCTCGGGGATTACAAGATACATACTACTGGTATGTTTGCTGAAGCAGCTTGGTCCGGCAACGCAACGCATTTACATCCGGGACGCAGGAGGATTTCGTCGCCCCTTCGAAATCATCCACTCCATTTTGCTTGTTGCAGACGTTGTAAAATGGAGACAGCACCCGGTGCAACAGTTAATTTTTGGCTACTGTGTATTTTCCGAAATGCAGTCTATGGAACGCTTTTTCAATGCAAAATCGGACATTTATACTAACTTTTTGGCGCCCTGCTGTAAGAGTGTCGTCTGGCGACATTGTACGGTGTCATCGCGGTGCCAGCCGCCGGCAACCATCTTGTGGAGCAAAACAATCACAATAACTAACCACAAGACCTGACTTTGAAAGTTGCTTGGAGAAGAAACAGCCGCTATCGGGAGCCAGTGACAGCGGTCAAAAGATCACATACCACATGCTGTTGGTATATATATAATACTGGACGGAGGGAAAAAATGGCTTATTGCAGCGCATTAATTGAGGACAAAGAAGCAGACAGGAGAACTCCCCGTCATGGCCGGCGTTTCTCTCACCTTGAGCGTAAAAAGCGTCGTTATCAGACTTTTTGCTTTCCACCGATGAATACAAAAGGAAGTTACCAGACTGGTTAAACGTTACCAATTACGGACCATTGGTGTTCTCATGTGTATTTGCAAATGAAATTTCGCGTATACGCGAAACACCAATGGACCGTCCAGCGTGGTAACTACTTAACAGCTACCCGAGTAGGCTTGAGCCAGTGTCGCAAAAATTAATTGTTGTCCTTGCACACTTACCGTACCAAATAATACAGTTGCATATGTATTATACATTTCGCATAAACGATCTTTACATCGATATACCCGCGATTCAATTCTACACAGGAAGATGATCTGATATTTTAAACCGTGGAAAACATTCGCTCTCATGAACCGAAAACGTATTACTCTGTCCGTCTTCCGATTAGTACATATTAATCCGGAAATAATAACCTTGCAAGCGGATCTCTTATTTCTCTGTGGACAAGTACTGCAGCTTATTAAGTTACGAGTACTAGAAGTACATTTACTACTAAAATAGCTGTTTCTCGAAATTTGCTTTACCCTTTTATGACCTCATGTGTGTCAGCTTTGCAACGTCGCCACCTCCTAACTCAGAAACTCAAGCTTTTATAATTACTTTTCCTCTTAACCGCAAGTTTCACAATAAAATCGCACATTATCGCATAACCTCGTTTTTTGGATGACCGACTTATTACATCCGACTGATCGAAATACCACAACATTTATAACCCATGGAAGTTTTTCATGCGCTACCGATAGCGGTTCTGAAAAAGGTTATAGAGAAAGCTGATGAGGGCGCACCTGCAGATTGAAACAGTACATTATCATTTATCAACTAATAATAAGGCTGTTCTGCACAAATTTTAGGTGCATGTATCTGTGCTCAAACGAGGATATGCCTACCAAATTCTAAACTATCCAACAATTTTCGATATTTTAATGACAGCGACTGGAGATGTGCACAACCATTTTGCACCGGCATCGGCACATCGGTATAAGTTCTTGGACTTTACGAGTAAACTAGAGACGAGTAACAGTAGACTGTAATCTCACACTGAAATCATTTGCTACTGTATACGTGTATGTGTGCAATGTACGCATACACGTTTAATATTTTTGAAACAACACTCAAACTAGTGCCGCGAAATTCCCGGGATCGATTATCGATAGCAACCGGACATTTTCCAGAAAAGTTATTTCTACCTTATCATGTGGTCGCGTTGAAAAAAGGTTGGGCTTTGGGGAACAGAATGAGCTTTCGCAATTACCAAAGAGATAATTATTACAAAAATTACAAATTCACTGCCGCTGATTACCGTCCCAGTGAGACGCAAGACACGGTCGAAATGTATTCAGCTAAGTTAGTTTCCTAACCGGGACATTGAGAGTCTGGATATAAATACTGTATGTCGCTGATTTAGCAGTCCGCGCACACCATCCCAGTTCGTCTTACCGAAGTGTTCTGGTAAAAGTGTGGAACAATGGCCGACGCAAGTTTCAGTGGCTTTCAGAAGGCTGCACTGCACAACTTTACCGTTGTACACAACATTTCCGCTACGGCAGCGAATAATTTCACTCTGATTCCCAACAATGTCACGGTACTGGCTACGTACGCATCACCGGTTAATTTCATCATCACAACCGTCGTGCGCTTGTTACTTAACACCGGTGTTTTACTTATGCTCTTCATCGACAAGAGTCTCCGGTCATCTTTCAACGTGTACATTATCCTCTTGCTTACTTGTAACGTCCTCTATGCAGCATCCGATGGCACGATCAAAACACTGACCTTTGGTACTCCGTTTTGGCTGGGATCGTCCGTCTGCACGTTCTACATGTATACCACCTATGTCCTGGCCGGCATCGTGCTGCACACCCACCTCCTCATCAGTCTCAACCGGGCATGGGCGCTCTTCTGGCCGGTGTCGTACCGTAATCACCATACGATAAAAAATGCTTGGATAATTTGTCTCGTTATGGCTGTATATGTCCACGCCTGCGAATTACCCGGGGTCATTTTGGATGCCATGTACTACCGCATGCCCTTATACAAGGGCTGCTGGGTCAACCGCCCAGCGCAACCGATATGGGCGGCACTGCAGATTTGGGTGTACACGGTCCCGACAATTTTCGTCCCGGTTTGTTATCCGTTTCTTCTGCTAAAGTATTACTTGACCATCCGGAAAAAGGCAGCCATTGGCGGAGGAGTGCCTGGGAATACTGCAACCGCACAGCAGCGCCGGAAGAACCGGGCGCAGCCGTTTCTGGTGACCTCGATGTTTACTGTGGGGTTTACGGTGTGCTGGTTGCCGACGCCGGTGTTTTACTTACTGACCGAATCCAATCAGACGGCATATGTGGGGTTGCGGCAATTCCAGGCGACGGCGTATTCACTGCTGCCGCTGCTTGATCCCATTTTGTTCTGCTTGACCATTCGAAGTTGGCATGATAATACGCGACGGATGTGGCACACGTATGTGTCCAGCCGCCGGACGGTGGATGTTAGTTTCGATTCAAATCGTAAAACTGCCAATGGGAAATGAACCGCTCCTAATCATACTGATACATCGATATCGAACGAACCTTTCTCCGAGCTGACGGCTCCGCACCAGCCAAAGAGGCGCCCGCCTAATGTTTTTCTGTACCGGTTGCTTAATAGTACTGTATAGCGAAAATTGTATTAGAAACATAATATTCACTACCCTATAGGCCGGCTGTTAACCAAAATTCAAGTTATGCCAGACTTATTTCAAATTCTGGATTACGGCAATACTTCGAAAGTTACAACAAAATTAATAAGAACGCAAAGTACTCTGTATTCGCTTTTGAAATCGGTATCCACTCTCTACCAACTGTATAAAAATATTTCAAAGCTATATAAGCGATATAACCGCTGCTGGCCATCTACAGTATCTGAGTCAATTGCGAACGGTAAAAAGCGAACCGCTTCCACATGGTGTGTCTTATACTGTAACTATTACTGTACTGTAGAATATCCGTTTCGCCGTGGTTGAATATGCACCTAAATTAGCTGAGTCACGCAGTGATAAGAGATATTTGTTGTAAATATTTAGATTTTAGATTGATCGATTTTATTTTTATTAGCAAGGCCAGGCCCGTCTTTAGCTTTTTGGGAGGGCGGGGGGGACGCACCATTGTTCTCCTCAAAAAAGAACAATGGCGCCAGTTGCGCCCGTTCCAAAGTCGCCTTTTTTTAACATGTAAGGTCCGACGCCAGTTGCGCCAGTTTGGTTTCGGAAGGGGGGGCGTGCACCCGTGCGCCCCCCTCCTCCTTAAAGAGGGGCTGAGCAAGGCCACGCAAAGATTACCTGCAATCGTGATAATGACGCGCTGTACTGATCTAACGTCCCACAAGATTTATTGATTAAATTATTTATTATTACGTATATACAATAATTGAAAGTTGCTCGATTTTCTGCATGGTTCGCTAATGGTAATTTGCGCTAGATGGCGGTCTGTTGCAATAAGGATGATCTTCGCTTGTGTCTTATAAGTCGCTCTGACTACTTCGTGTATCTGTGTTAGCCTTAAGGTCAACAATAAACTGCAAAAAAGCGAAAATTTTGGATATGCGGAGTAATTAAAAAACGTATCCGTTCCGTGAAACCACAAATTCACATTTCAATTATATCAGCTGCAACTTTCAATCATTGCAAATCTGATCGCGATATTTCTTGATATCAGATTGGCACTGCGCTCGTGCATCATGATCAAGTTTCGTTTGCGCATCCGGTGTTTAATTAAGATTAAAAATATGGCTAATGTAAACGTTCACTTTGTTGCAAAATTTCATTTAAAGCAGCGATAGCGACAAGGTCTTCCACTAACCCTGGGCTCACGACCGTTGTACGGTTAGTGCTTGTGCTTGTGTAATTGTATTGCTGACTGCTTGTTTGGGATAAAGTGCCCTGGAGAAACCAATTATTCTGAATCAATCCTGGCAATCACCACACCACAACATTTCCCGTATTTCCAAATTCATTGCAGCAACTGAATAGTTAAATCACAATTCAAGAAAACGTTGCATACTTGATTTTTCAGTTCAGCATCAGTGCGCTATGCTGAACGTTCAACAAAAGATTTTGAGCTCTAATAACACCTCTTTGAGGCTCTTTCCTATAGATATAAAGTATAAAGGTCAGGCTGGTCAGTTGACTAACCTGACCATACATAATCAAGCATTTCACACTATGTTGAAATGCAAACTGGTTTCTTCGAGCCTGACATTTATTTTTAAATTTAGACATATCCATTTGGTTGTTTCATTAGTGTGTAAATTTGAACTTTTTAAATTAGCTACAATTAATTAATTTGTTAATATTTTTTTTGTCTTTCAGCGCAAGCTTATTGTTCTGTTAACCGTCTATTGCCTGAACGCACATATACATGTAGATCAATATCAAATTTATCATGGGTAAATATAAGGGGCGAAAGTAAACGCGTTCCACCGTTTCCCTGTACTGCTGCCGTCACCCACCTGGAGTGTGACGTTACGGCAATACATGTGGTTAAATCTGGCGCGGTACATAAGCGCCATGTTCTGCCACAACGTCAAACTCCAGTCGGGTGACGGCAGCAGTACAGGGGAACGGTGGAACACGTTTACTTTTGCCCCCTATATACTAAAATGAGGTAACGATTACGCACGCCATTATAAAGGCAATCTTTGAATACGTAGTTAATCAATTCATCCTGCCAACTTATAGTTATACTCGTACAATCTTCAAGTCAATGCTACATGCGGTCGTGATGGTTAAATATCTTCGAAAACTGTATTGCTTGAAAAATTATGTAACTAAATACTGTATTAAATATGTACATCGTACCGTAAAATCACGTACGAGTACCGATAGTCAGTTTCACATTGGAAAAATAGCGACTCTTACCTTCCTTCCTGTAATCTAGGAGGTACCGCTATAAATAATTTGGGTATCCGGGGTGTACATACCTTCCGTAAAACACTGCTGATTGAACGTGAATTCTGGAGATGCTTGAGTAACCGACAAACGTATCAGCTTCGCAAAGCCGCATGGTCACGATCAACCCGTTTTGTTATATCCGATCAGTCCGTTTCTTCTACTCTGGCTGTATCCTCGATCAGCTTATTAAACACCCGTCCTCGACATCCTTTTTTCAGTACCGGATCTGTACTATGTTGGTATACTGTTGGCTAAGGGCACTTTTCAGGCTATTGCTACATTTCACTAAAGTTTCCCTCAGAAACAT